TACTACTACTAGTACTAGTAGTAGTAGTACTGCTCATAGGGTCTATGTCCCCCAGGGTACTGCCGGAACGTACCCTGGTACTATCTAATATGCCGGACCGTACCTTCATTCGTACTTCCACTAACGAGTCTATAGGGAGTCGCCTACGCCTACTCCCTAACCCTAACCCTAACCCTAACCATATCAGATAGTTACCAGGGTACGTTCCAGTATACCGGACCGTACCCAGGTTACGTTCCGGCAGTACCCTGGGAGACATAGACCCTATGAGCAATACTTTTGACCATAGTGACGCACGAAGGGTCGTTGTCGTATAGGGTAGTACAAATATGTACCCGAGGTAACTATCTGATATGGTTATAGGGTTTAGGGTTAGGGAGTAGGCGTCGTCGACATATACTCGCCGACACCTCGGGTACTACATATACGACAACGACCCCTTCAGCCATAGTGACACCCCCGGCCCCCGGTGGTGGGCGCAACTCGCCTCGGAACTGGGTAGGAGGGTGCCTCGGGGGCCTTGAAAACCTAGCTGACCCTGTCGGAAACCACTTTGCACCCTAAAGTACACCCTGTCCCAATATACTGCAATAAAAAGTATATATACCCTAGCTGTTGCAATATTGGCTTGCCTATATTATTGGTCCAATATTGGCTTGGTGATATATTGGCCCAATATTGTTTTGCCAATATTGGGCCAATATCAGCTTCCTTGCTGAGTATCTAGATATATAAGTATTAACCCTAGCTGTGCCAATAATGATGGTCAGAAAATATACCCTGTCCAGCGGCACGTCCCCAGTACCTTTACCAATGGGAGTGCCCCGGCCACCCACCGGGGTGACACCCAACCCCATAAATTTGAGACGGGTTGTAGTATAGAATGCTTAATTTCTGTTGCTCTTCAAACGACAGGTGGTCGTATGTCTACCAGCCGCAGCCCAGCAAACTCCAGCTGTATCGCTGACGTTGGAGCACAGTACATTAGCCCATCCTCAAAGTACTGGAAGGACCATAAGAGGTTTGTGCAAAAGAGCTATTTATAAACATGAATTAAATGAAAAGTAATAGCTGTATCGTCACTCGATCACCACTGAAAACGTGCTGGAAGTGAAGTCTTCTTCTTATCGTGTGAAGACAGACTTTGTGTTTTCACATTTTGCAATATGCTAGCTCTGTGGGTTTACCTCTATCCGGTCAATCAGTGTGCAAGGTTCAAGGTGCTGAGTGTACTTCATTTAATCATAGTCGCTCTCAACAAAGCGAAGTATAATCACTTATTTGCTGAAAATAAGGACATGCACAGCTATGTGCGAAACATCTCCATTGGATTTAGCCATTGCATAAGGTGCAACTTCATTGCATTGCAACAAGACACATCGCGTCGACCTCTGATGTGCCTTTTTGATATCTCGTGATTTTTTCCATTGGCGATATTTTTAGGTATATTGATGAACTCTCCTCTAGTGGCATCCTAGAACCTCTACAAGCGACTATCGAGGGAGACAGGTCGAGTAGAGATGATGTATCTCAACACTGGGTAGCATCGCTTGGAATTGGTTCAATGGTGAAATACTTCTTTAAGAAAGCAGGTGTGCTGCAGTTATGATATATGCAATGGAATCTCGTGATGTATCTTTAGAGCACCGTCTCTCTAAAAATATCTGTGGGAGGTAGAAATCGATGTAACTCGAATACATACATTAAAATTAACATACTGGCACTAATCTATAGTCACTGTAGTCGAGATATGAGTCGAATTTTTTTTTAAACATTCTAAAAACTTGGTAAAATGTCATTATATACTCAGTCCAAAGTTTTTTTAATTGCACCACAATTTTCAGGTATCATCCTGGTTACAGCAAGATAGTGAATTGAAAAATGTTGCATGGGCTATAACGAAACCATAGCGAGCAACTATATTTCTGCTACGATGCCTATAACGTGAAATGATCGTAGATAATATTGTAGTGGCCCTAGGGGTGGCCACACTGGACTTTCACACGTGCTGCGGTTAGCACGTGTAATTTATTTGTGTCAGGATCATTTTCCGCTCCTACCGTGAAGGTAGGACGGTGATGCAGTAGCAAGAAAAACCCCAGAAAGACGTACGGGTGATGCAGTAATACGGTGATGCAGTAGCAAGAAAAACCCCAGAGTGAAATGAACGCAAGTCCTTAGATAGTCGTTATACAACGGATGGTTTTATTCATCGTATACGAATAACATTCACTGCACGTATCTCAAATATGGCGTATAGATATATATATATATATATTACTCATGTCACGTTTACGTTACCTCGTTAGGTTATAACACATTTAACTTAACTCTTAGCTATTCTGCGGGTTAATATTGTAGCCCCCGGCGCCGCTCCTCGTCTGTCTCTCCCCGTCGTGTGCTGCCGCGGCTCGGCGCGAGTTCGTGGGTTGGCAGTGTGTCTCCCTGTCCGGGGTAGGCTATACCTCCGCGCCCCTCCCTTAGTATAGGATATACCTTCTCGGGCGTCGTCCTGCTCGTGGATGGCTCTCCCTCCGACGGTGTGTGTGTGCCCTCTCTCGAGCGCGTTTGTTCGTTTGTTCGTTCGTTCGTTCGTGGCCATTCGAAGACCGACTGACTCTACCGTTGGATCTTGGCTGCTTATATAGGACCCTGCAGTGATGTAGGAGCCTGGCAGTGCCTCCCTCTCACGTGCCTCGGGTGCCTGGCCGTTGTCACCCCCCTCGCTTAACACGTGTACGGGTGATGCAGCTCCTTTGGACCAGTATATGTCCGAGCGTCGCACCCCCCCTGTCCGCCACGTGCTCGGCCGGTGCAACTCCCTCGCCTCGTGCGTGTACATGGTGGCGCAACTCCCTTACCTCCCACATCTGGTAGCTATGGGACCCCTTCCCCCGCGCTTGTCTGTGTCGTTGGGGAAAACTTTCTACCTGTCGCTAGGGGAACTTTCTATCTCTGTTGCTGTTGAACTGGTGTGTGGTTGTATGACATCATCCTCCCTGAAATCTCCACAGTATTAACTTAACCAATGCTCAGCAGTTGTTGGTATTGCTTCAATTGCTAGTGGGAGCAGTAATTAACTCCTGTGCTGATGCATGAATTACTTTCAGATGCTCAAGTCTTCACTGGCTGTGAGTTGTCATCTCTGCAGTTAGAGGGTAATGCTTGGCAGGCAACGACGAAGGACGGGGCTAATGAAACATTCAATGCTGTTGTCCTAACTATGCCGGTTCCACAAATACTTGCAGTGGAAGGAATAAGTAAATGTATGCATTTGATCTAGCGGTTTTATCTGATGTTACAAATGGTTGTGTTAAGTAGCAGTAACATTTTTGGTTGTTGTTTGACATGAATAACGTTTTTCTTCAACATATGTTAGAATTGACATATACATTATTGCATGTTACTAAAGTAATTGGTTTCATAGATAGGGTATCATTAGCTGTCACGGATTAGAGCCATTTTTAATTTGCATGATTTTTTCCAATACAATTAATTGTTGCAAATGTTAGCAATCGTTTTGTTTAGCAAATATTTCCTAGAGAATGGTCATATTATTGGTAGTCAATATATTCGATATAAGTCTAATAGCATATAGGTTTGGCGATGATGTTTTAATCACAAAAGGAATCAACTATGGCCACTTAATTGTGGTTATTCTATGGCTGCTCCTTATGTAATTATTTCTCTGACCTTTCCAGTTGTCAGTGAAGACCAGGACAGGCAGCTCAGAGCAGTACAGTACTCCTCTCGGTATGCCCTAGCACTGTTCTATGATGCCAAAGTGACGCTGGACATCCCATGGGCAGCGAAGTACTTTTACGATACACCCTGCATTCGATTTGTCTCCGTTGATAACGTAAAGAGGCAAGGTGAGACAGTCGCTTCAAGCTGCCCTGGTAGACTGACTATGAACATGTATAATATAAAATGTAAAAGAGATTCACCAGATATACCCAAGAACATATAACCCAAAAATTATAGCTAGAATGAGGTTTTGTTTTTTCTACGTTTGTGTTTTACTGGCGATCATGCACACCATGCTTTGCTGATGATGATGATGATGGTGATGATGATGATGCGGTCGATTTTGTTTTTGCTGATGTGTTCTATTAACAGTGTCTCCTAATATTGCAGCTCATTCAAGCATCGCCCCATCGATAGTAGTGCATACCAGCGTTCCGTTTACCATGGAGCACGTCGACCTTTCTCTGTCCGAAGTTGAGCCACTCATAATGTCATCCCTGAGCGAGCTTCTTCCTAATCTACCTACGCCAGCGAGCACAAAGTGTCACAGGTGGAGGTACTCACAGGTAAGGGAACAAGGGATGCCATAAGCAATGTTTGTGCACATACATCACTGTGAGAACTGCGTGATGCTAACGTTTAGGGATAGCTGTTGCAGCGGGCAACCTGAAATCGGTGCCATTTATCTTTTATTGTGTTTGTAAGATACAAGAAATATCACAGTTATTTGTTTATCTACGCAATTCTCTGTGGTTTTGAGTATGGTTGCACCTGTATGCTGACACATTCCAACTGTTAAATGTTGGTGATGCCATGATAAATGGTTTTTTGAAAGCACTGAGATCATTGGCAAAGAAAAATTTAACAATTTACAATAAGCAAAATATAAAAAAATTATCAAAAAATTATTAGACGCTGTTTGAAATCTAGAAAGTAGATCTGTTGCAACATCAGCATCAGGGATACTTATTGGCGATCTTCGAAAGTTTCGTAATGTCATCATCGCCACAACATATAGCATAGTCACGTACTTTAGTGTATATAAGTAATGCAGCCTTTGATGCTCATTGTATAGATATGTTCATCGTAATAGTTAACGTCTGCAGGTTCATCATGGAGTGGAAGGCTCGCCCGGCTGCTTCGTCCTGTGCGAAGACCCGCCCCTGCTGGCAGGTGGCGATGCTTTCGTGCACTCCAACCTCGACGGCTGCATCGAGTCTGCGAGAAGCATCAGCGACGCTCTCGCTGCCGTCATGAATGCGCCTGGGGCGCCATCTTGTGGGGCTGACAACAAGTTATGAGTTGAGCTGTGGAAAATTTTGCTATATATCCGAAATGTTCACCTGCTTTTGCTTACGAGATAGAATGCCACCACCGATAAATAGGTAGAGGGGTCATCATGTTTAACTTAATTGGCTTAGTGGCTCACCTTATAGATGTCACGACAATGCCGGTGTGTAAATTACTTAAAATATCATTATTACAAATAAAGGTTTATATTTATTTTGAAGAATTATAGCCTGATTATGTTTTGTATGTTAGTCTATTATTCGTAGTTAGTCTAATATTGCAGATTAACTATTTGTCTACTAATTGTAATTATATATTATGCACTTGTAATGAGGACTACCTGTGAAACACATACACACGTCTCTTTTAGCATTCAATTGCGTTATACTAGATGACCAATTTTACGAGTTTCCTGAATAGTTCTGAAAGAAGTAATTGAAAGAAATCAAATTTTCCTTAACTGCTCCCAAGGGTTCCCGCATCACTCAGATTATACATCAAAACAGGCTGTTGCTTTGGAAACCGTAAACAAGTGCCGCAGAGCGACAGCGCTCACCTGACGGCAGGTGTTCTGATGCTAAACTCGCTGGCAAACGAATGAAGAGCACCCTCCCATCACCGCGTTCGTGCTCAGAGCATATATCTAGGATACTACTAATACAGATCTAAAATCTATGATAGCTAGGCTTTGCTATACCGGTGGTACAGTAATAAAGATACAGCTGTGTAGCTTTAATGACTTCGCTATATTAACATGTTATCTATCATGGATATGCGTCCAACGCGAGCGTAGTGGTGGTGGTGGGAGGGGAGTCGGGGGCTCTAAAGCAAAAGCAGTTGCCTGCGAGATGCGCGGGTCTGCAAGTGTCATCAATAATCAAAGATGGCATCACCTTTCGTGCGTGCATGCTGCATCCATTGAGTTGCTGGAAATCCAAGTATATTTCAGGCAGACGAGAAAATTTCGCGTGGGAGCGGCCCTGTGCAGTTAATCTACAGTACTGCAATTGCCAGTTGCCAGCGCAATAATTATGAATTAGAGAGTGCCAGCTTCACCCGCCAATCATGCCGTACATGGGTCTGCCCCCAGGTTTTTGCCTTACCCACTGAGAGCATTCAGCGGTCATTACAGTGTGCTATTACAGGACTGCTTTAGAAATAATATGAATTTAAGGGAGCCCGTAACCTTGTTCAAAGAAACATTTGCCTGCAATTGGAATACTGTGCAACTGTAGCCTCCACATCCCACATGAAGCAAAAGAGTTCAGTCGCTTTGTTAACATGTCAACAAAAATCCATGTTTAAACCGCCTCTTTGAGGGTTCAAAAGGATATCGGACACTTACATCTTCGACATGGTTCAGCAGAAGGTACATTTCATGGTGCCTGTTCAATAAAACCATAAAAATGCTAGGTCACGCGCTGACACAAAAAGTTTTTCTTATTTCTAGCGTCAGACCCATGTCTCTCAAAAAATGTCTAAAAATCTTGCCCGTGTGGCCCATTGACCTTTAATCCCTCGTGACCTCCAACTTTCCGGCACCAGCAGCAATATTGGCCCGGCTTTAGGAAATGAT